AGAGAACATATATCTACTTAAACTTGTACATCCAATTCTCAATTTATAGAAAAGGGACAAATAAAAAGATTAAATGGAACCACTGGGCTGCAGGCAACAAAGTCTGGAGTGTAGGTTTCTTCAGCATATAAATGGCAAGAAAATAGAAACAGAGGTAAGAAATCTACAGACAAAAAGAGAGATCTATCCATTGACTGCAATGTATAGACATTGTTTTAGTTCTGATTCAAACAAACTACTAAAAATTATGGGAAAAAAGAGGAAAATTTGAATGCTGAATGAATACTCTAGAATAACAAGGAATTACTATTATTTAGGTGAGAATCATGTTGTAATTATATCTAAATAATTCTCTTGTTTAAGATATTAATGTTGGAAGTATGGATAAAGTGATGGATGAAAGCAGGCTAGGACCTGCTTCCAAATAAATCTAGGGAGCTGGAGGAAGTGGGCAGAGGTACAGATGAAACAAGATTGATGTTTCTTCTTTTATGTGTTTGAAATGAATAAACCTTACAAATGAGTTTTCCTTTTAGAGAAGGAGGCGAAGGGAGGAAAAAATGGAAGCAAACAAGAAAAAAAATAAGCATCTATTCATTAGGTGGTTTAACATTCAACTGCATGTCATTTTATTTTCTATGTATTTTGGTAAGTTTGAAATATGACATGATTTACATTTTTAAAAGATTTAAATTTGTATAAATACCTCCTTGGTACCACAAACATAAAATATACTCTGACTGTATTTTACATACCATGATCCAGCTTCAATGGAAGGAGAGAGATAAGTTATCAGCAGTGAGACTGGGGCTTCCCACAGCCTGCTGCCCATACGTGCCAGACACTTTTGATTTACCCTCCTACAGATTCCCTCGGCCCCTCCTCAGATAGTAGTGGACCACCACTATCTAGTGCCATGAACCAGAAATTAACTCTTTGCGTCCACTCCAACAAGCCTTCATACTGCTGCTGCACCCTGTGTGAGCAGATCGACTGTCACATCTAGTTAAATTTCCTTGAGAGTTATTTACACTTTGCTCCCTGGTGAATGTTGAAGTCACAAGATAAGTTCATCAAAGACAGTGTTTGATTTCTAGAGTTCAACATGCCTTGTTCTTGTGTAGATTAAGAGAGTATTTCATGATCTATTTTGTTTATAATATTATCAGGCCACTTAAGTGTTGCTGAGCAGTTTCAAACTCTTAAGAATGATTTAAATGTTGCCCATGCAAATTGCAAGTTCTCTCCACTGCCCACATACGCACACACTTTCATGCATTCATAGTCATTAAAAGACTAGAAGGTAGTCTGTTGGCCGCTCACAAACAACATGGGAGAAGTTGGGCATCTTCAAAATCAAATGAATTAAAAAAAAAATACTGATCCGAGGCACAGAATGGTTTCCACGATCTTCTAAAGATATTATGCTTGATATGTTTACTAAATGTAAATCCTTTTTTTCCCTGAACTCCCAATTTTCAGACCTTGTTAGTTCTAGTTTTCCAGTAAGAACAGAATTTCCGTTAATCCACAGATACAAAGAGAAAACTGAATGCATTTCTGCATGAATCCCAAGAGGCCCACAGATCTCTGGATCAGGGTCTGCAATAAACCAGTTGCTTCCTGGAAAGCCAGCATGGTGTTACTAAGAGTGTGGACTTTGCAACCAGATTGCTAGTGTTCAGATTCCGGTTCTATCATTACTAACTGATAGGCCTTGGGAGAACCACTAAACCTTCTTATGTCTTGGTTTCCCTTCTTTAAAATGGGGATCATGGGGACGTCTGGGTGGTTCAGTCAGTTAAGTGTCTGCCTTGGGCTCAGGTCAGGATCTCAGGGTCCTGGGACAAGCCCTGACTTGGACTTCAGGCTCCCTGCTCAGTGGGGACCCTGCTTCTCTCTTCCTCTCTGCCCCCGCTCATGCCCTCTCTCTCTCTCTCTCTCTCTATCTCAAATAAATCAATAAAATATTTAATAAAGTAAAATGGAGATAATAGCAGTACTTACCTTATAGGTATGTTGCATAAAAATTACATAAGTTAATATAGGTAAAGCACCTAGAATAATGCTTGGCCTATAATAGGTGCTACTGAAGCTATTAGCACTTGTCATTTAGCTACTGTCATGTAATCCTCCAAACAGTTAGCACCCTTTTATGATAAGGTTAAATAACTTGTTGAACATTAGATAGTTCATAGTAGTGGAACATGGGTTAAGTCTGGGTTGGTCCAAAGCCTGTGTTCTTTCCACTGCACACCCTTTTTCATTTGTTTATGAGACATATCAAGTCCCTGTGTTAATGAGAAAGCCATATTTATAATGGGACATGAAATTTAACCTAAAGCCTATGGGACTTGGGGATATTTCAATGTAAGGAAATTGAAAATAGTAAGATACAATTGTCCACTTCCTATATTGAGAGATTTCAATCAGACACTGAGAGAAATTTAGAAGTTTGGATTGGAGTATTGGATGATTAACATCTTGGTGTAAATGTTCAGAATATTTAAACTAGTTCATGTTCTTGGAACACTAAAAAAAAACTAGCTCATGTTGTATTGGTTTAATTCATTAAGCGGCGGTGTCTCGTATACTGACAATAAACATTAATGGTTCCAGGATTAAATATGAAACTATTATGAGTCATAATAATTACTTTCAAGTCATCATGAGAAAGAAGATGTATTGTGAAAAAAGTGTCTTACCTGAAATCCAATGAGAAAATATGTTACAGCCATCTCTAAACTCAAACATAGTAACAAAAATGTCGTTTTACATATTGCTGTGGGGTTGGATTGTGCCTCCCAGAAAGAAGTCCTCAACCTGGATACCTGTGAATAATGTGATCTTAATATGGAAATATGATTTTTACGTACATAATCAATTTAAAATGATGTTGAACTGAATTAGAGTGAATCCTAATCCAATATGACTAATGTCCTTATAAGAAGAGAAGAGACACAGAGATGAACACAGAGAAAAATGCCCTGTGATGACAGTCAGAAACTGGAGTGATGCTTCTCTAAGCCAGGGAGTGCCAAGGTTTTTGCAAAAAGTAGGAGGGAAGCATGGAACAGATTCTCCCTCAGAAACTTCAGAAGGAACCAACCCTGCTGACTCTGAGATTTGGAATTTCTAGCCTCCCAAACTGTGAAGGAACACATTTCTGTTGTTTGAAAAACGCCAGCCAGTTTGGGGCACTTTGTCCATGGAAAACAAATACACACGTATAGGTTAATTCAATGACCACATCAATAAATGATCGACGATTTAATAAAAACCTTTATTTGGGGGCGCCTGGGTGGCTCAGTGGGTTAAAGCCTCTGCCTTCGGCTCAGGTCATGATCCCAGGGTCCTGGGATGGAGCCCCACATCGTGCTCTCTGCTCGGCGGGGAGCCTGCTTCCTTTTCTCTCTCTCTCTGCCTGCTCTCTGCCTCCTTGTGATCTCTGAGTGTCAAATAAATAAATAAAATCTTTAAAATAAAAATTTATGTGCCGACAGTATTCTTCTTTAGCACATTATTTTTAGCTATTTCCATTTGAAGTAAGTCAAAATAATTTAAAATACACAGAGACACACACAAACATAAAATTGTACGCAAAAGAACAAAGAAATGACAGAGGTATGATTTGGCACTTAACGTGTTAAACACGCATCCTTATCAAACAAGTAAGACATGGTGAGAAGAATCACAGGTGTGACATTCTCTTAGAGTCCAAAAAACCTGCTGTCAAAAAATATTCAATTACTTAGGGATGTCTTTTTTTTTCCAGTTTTATTCAGATATCCTTGACACACATCATTGTGTAAGTTTCAAGTGTACAGCATAATGGTTTGACTTATGTGTATTGTGAAATGGTGACCACATAAGTTTAGTTAGGATCCATCACCTCATATAGATACAGTAAAAAGAGACAGGAAAAAAAAAATCCCTAGTTATAAGAACTGTTAGAATTTACTCTCCTAACTTTCCAGTATATCATACAGTGGTGATAGCTATAGTCATCATGTTGTATGTTACATCCTAGTACTTATCTATCTGGTAGCTGGAATTTTATACCCTAGAGCACATTCCTCAATTCCCGTCCTCTGCACCACCACCTCTGATAACCACAAATCTGATCCCTTTTTTATGAGTTTGAATTTTTTGTTTTGTTTTTAGATTTCACATGTTAGTGAGATCATACAGTATTTATATAGTTCTGTTTGACTTATTTTGCTAGTATAATGCTCTCAAGGGCAGGATTTCCTCAGTTTTTATGACTGAATAATATTCTGTTGTATATATATATACTACCACTTCTTTAAAGGATGCTTTTTTTTTTTTTTTTAAGTAGTCTCCATAAGCAACGTGGGGCTTTGAACTCATGGCCCTGGGATCAAGAGTCTGATGCTCTACCTACTGAGCCAGCCAGGCACCCCTAAAGGATGTCTTTTGAAACAGAGGCTGAACATATTTTATTAAAAAAAAAAACTTATGAAAACATAAATGAACATTGAAACAATAACTAGACCTAAAACGGGAAGATTTTGATCAAATCATCTATTGCGCTTTATCTTAAGTCATTTAATCAATCCATCATTTGATGGATGGTTAACATTTTGTTTGCTGCTTTGGGGCGAAAAGAAAAAAATTAAATATACTATGTGTCCTTAAGAGGCATCATTCAGGTTAGATCATAGTTTGTTTCCTGTACCCACTGAGCCTAAGCTATACCCAGAGCCTCTTTAATATAAATACATAAATCATTTGATTTTTTAAATACATCACTTACAGATGCATATGACTACTGGCAGTGAACATAAGTGTAGAGAACAAATGCAGTAAACATAAAAAATCTACTTCTAAGACGTGCTTTCAGTCTTTTATATGTACACTGTTTTGCATCAAAATAATTCTTTTCTAAAAACTTATTTTTATTGAGATATAATTGACATATAATATTGTATCAGCTTTAGGTGTACAACCTAAGGATTTAATATATGTATATTTGCAAAATGATCACTGCAATAAGTTTAGCTAACATCCATCAGCACACGTAATTATAATTTTTTTATGATGAGCAATTTTGAGATCTACTCTTTTAGCAACTTTCAAATATATAATACAGTATCATTAACTATAATCACCATGCTGTACATTACACCTTCCCATGTTATGTATACATTAAATACATTATCTTATAACTGGGAATTTGTACCTTTTGACTACCTTCACCCATTTTACACACCCACCCTCAATTCCTACCTCTGGAAAACACCAATCTGTTATTTGTACCTATGAGTTTTTTGTTTTGTTTTGTTTTTAGATCCACATGTCAGTGAGATCATGCAGTGTCTTTCTGTGACTTACTTCATTTAGCATAGTACTTTAAGGTCTGTGTATGTCTGAATAATATTCCATTATATACCACTATACTATTCCATATATATACCAAATTCCATTGTATACCATATACCATTCCATATATATGTACCACATTTTCCTTATCCATTCAGCTATTGATGACACTTGGGTTGTTTCCATGTCTTGGTTATTGTAAGCAATGCTATTATGAATATGGGAGTGCAGATATCTTTTTGAGACAGTGATTTCATTTTCTTCAGATAAATACCCAGAAGTAGAATTGCTGGGTCATATGGTTGTCCTATGTTTAATTTTTCTGGGGAATCTCCCTACCCTTTTTTCATAGTGACTGCACCAATCTATATGCCCACCAACAGTGCACAAGGGTTCCTTTTTCTCTGCATCCTCACCAATACTTGTTATCTTTTTGATAAAAGCCATTTTAGCAGGTGTGAGGTGGTATCTTATTGTGATTTCATCAAATCTTTAGATGTCTATCAATGAGCCAGCGATAGACTACATCTAAAATTTTCAATAAAGAAATGGAAAACTCATAGTAACAAGAGGGAAAAAATTTTAAACAAGTACTTTACGGACTCGAATCCAGTTATAAGTATGAGATGTTGGGTTTGTGGGCATTAAAGGATAGCAGAATGGGGCCCACGGAGTCCATCGGCAGTGGCCTCTAACTTTAAGAAGGCAAGCATGGCATCGTCTGCCCAGCGAAAAAGGATGAGTCCTAAGCCAGAGCTCACTGAAGAGCAGAAGCAGGAAATCCGGGAAGCTTTTGACCTCTTTGATGCCAATGGGACTGGGACCATAAATGTTAAGGAACTTAAGGTGGCGATGAGGGTGCTGGGCTTTGAACCCAAGAAAGAAGAGATCAAGAAAATAAGTGAAATTGATAAAGAAGGGACAGGAAAAATGAACTTCAGTGACTTTTTGACTGTGATGACTCAGAAAATGTCTGAGAAAGATACCAAAGAAGAAATTCTGAAAGCTTTCAAGCTCTTCAATGATGATGAAACTGGGAAGATATCCTTCAAAAATCTAAAGCGCGTGGCCAAAGAGTTGGGTGAGAACCTCACTGATGAGGAGTTGCAGGAAATGATCGATGAGGCTGATCGAGACGGAGAGGGAGAAGTCAATGAGCAGGAGTTCCTGCGCATCATGAAAAAGACCAGCCTTTACTGAGATCAGTCTCTTCTTTTCATATTGTGTGAAACCTGGGTTTTGAGAACATAAACTATTTTCTCCTACTCACCTCCCTGTATGACTTCAGTAACAATCTTGGTTCTCTTTTAGGCATCTGAAAGTGTTCTTTGACATTTAAGTTCTTTGTAAGGTGATCTACTGATTGCTTCAATACCTCAGAGGAGAGCAAGAGCACATTAGGGTAGTAAAAAGGGTCTTAAAGCTTTTACCCACCTGCACTCCTGCCTTTTAATCACCTCACTCAAAAGTTCATGCATTTCCACACTGATGCCACCACAGAACGACTTCTTAGACAAGTGCATGTTGTACCCATGCCACCAGAAGCAAGGGGCATCTCTTTGATGTTTCTAGTTATAACTGACAGCTGAGTGCAGCTTTCTCTTGTATAAAACCCAGTGAACTTACTCACGTGCATTTGGATGTGTGTTTGTGCTATTTGTTTTGTCTTAAAAATAAAGCCTTTCTTATTAAAAAAAAAAAAAAAAGGATAGCAGAATGTAAATCTGAAACTGACACAATCTTCATTTTAGTAAATATCACAATCTCATATATCTCATACAACTGGTGCATGTGAATGTCCCGTGCAATTTAAACATATCAACACATCAAGAATATTCTTGATCAAGAATGTTAAAAAATAATACAAAGAAAACATTATGTAAATGGTTCTTCTGTAATGACAATAAAAAAGCTGAAAATACATACTTATTTTCTTTTCTCCACAAAAAGAAAAGAAGCAATGTTAAGTAAATTAGAAGTGTATGATTAATTCTGAAGAAAAGATTCTCATAGTATTTGCATAATTAATTTACTCTCTTACACTTGATAGCATTTGCATCAGATTTACTTAGTGAATGTTTAGAGAGATCTATAAAAAGGAGTACCTTTCTTAGCAACACTGATTTTATAAACAACTGATAATTACTGTCTCTTGGGCACTCCAGGAAGCAGATGCTGACATGGAGACAGGAGAGTGCGCAGTTTATTGGGGAATTATATCCGTGAAAAATAAAGGGAAAAGGATGCAGAATTGGGCAGGGACAGCTTTCAGAACATGATGCTGATCTGATACCTGTGAAAGTTTCAGGGGAAAGGAATGAAAATTTGGCAGGGAGAACGTCAAAGCAGCAGGGAGAACGTCAAAGCAGCAGGCAGATCTGACAAAGTCTTGGCCAACCCAGTGGGGAACTTGGAGAACATAGTTCCCTGTTAGAGCAGCCCCGTGTTGGGCAGACATGGCAAGGCCTTACTACCCACTTAGTGCTCAGCTACTAGATGGAGGCTCCCCAGGGAGAGCATGGTGTCAGCCCAACCACGGAGGTATATCCTGAAGTCTCGGCAACTGGAAGCAGTTAACAACACTCCCTTTATCTGAATTGTCTGTTTTCTCAAAGAAAGGTACGAGCAGAACATGACCACTACTCATATAAAAACTTACAAGTCTCCTGCCCACACAACTGTAGTGTTGATCTCACACCTCTCCCCTTCTTGCATCCCCTTTCCGGACACACCTCATGATTTCACTCCGCTCATTTTTTCTCCCAATGTTGCCGTCAGTGCTGTCTGCTAGAGAGATCCCACTCTCCAAGCCTCTTCCATCCCCATTCTCTCTCATTCATAACCGTGTTGAGAAGAATTAAAGCCCAGATAGGCTCTCAAGAATTAGAAGCAGTATCACAGTAAACTACTTAGGGGTTAAAAGGATTTTACCAAATGGTCTAAAATTCCTCTTTTGGTAAAGATGTAGTCCAACCTACTAACAAGTGACAACAATTTTATACCAGTGCACTTGCAAAGTTGGGAGGAAAAGCACTTTTTATTTCCTACATTATCACATTACTTTTTCACATAAATTTATTTGTATCAGCATCCAAAAAACTACGTTTTCAAATAAATTGAGCTTTCTATTTTTTTAAAGAAGAGCTCTGACTTTGAACTAATAACTGTAGTGTTTTGCTTTTTATGCTAAGACAAATTCCAAGATTTCACTCATATGCGGGACCTAAAAAAACAAAACAAATGAATAAACAAGCAAAAAACAAAATCAGACTTAATAAAGACAGGGAACAGACTGATGGTTGCCAGAGGGGAGGTGCCTGAGGGACGGGCAGAATGCATAAGTGTGAGGAAGATAGAAAGTTATGTAATGAATAAGTCGTGGGGATAAAATGTGGGAATATAGCCAATGATATTGTGATAGTCACACAATGATATTGTGATAATCACTGTGTTATTTACTTGAAACTAATAACACTGTATGTCAACTATACTCAAAAAAATGTTCTTAAACAAGGAGTCTCTAGCTTTGAACTAATTCCTATAGTGTTCAACTTCATAAGGCCAGTGAGTTAGCTCTACTCTGCTTCTTCCATTCCTCAGACCATATCAGAGAAGAAATCCTCACTTCAGCGTTTACACAGTAGTGAATTGGTGGCAGAGTAGATATCTCTTAATGCTCAAATCATAGTTTCCATACCCTACTACCAATTAACAGTCTGGCTTTCAAAATCAACCTGCATTCTTAGAATCATCTATATATTTACCCACTTTCTCAAGCTTTTAAAACTATAGTACAAGTAGGGGAAGAGTAGAATATCCTTTTTAATTTTTTTTCCTATTTTATTCAGAAAAGAGTCACTTATTTTGAACTCATTACTTCCCAGCTAGGTGCTAAGGCAGGGGTTGCAAATTCAGATGCTCATGGAGCCTGTGGGTATCTCAAATTGGAAAAGGAGACAGTGGGAACATGGAAACTGTGGTGAACTGGACCACATAGACCCCTGACCAAAGGATCCTGCCCTTCCTCAGTTGTAGTTCACTGATAGGGGGTAAGAATGTAGACCCAGATTGGCCAAACTTCCAATTTTCCAAGAGAAAACCAAAATGAAGCATTTTTTAAAGTGGCAATAAGAAGGCAATGTGGTACCCTATCAAATTATAAAATGCTGATACTCTTAACGTATTGTTAAAAAAAATTCAACCAAGTAAACATAAAGATCTAATTGGCTGTATTAAATGATTCACGAATCAGGAAGCATCCCATCTGAGAAGTTGTACAAAATGGTAGGTTTTTATAGGAAGGAAGGTGGGGTGAGAAAATTTATAAACAGAAGAAAAGAAAGGATTGTTCCAGACAAGATCACCTTATGTTAGGGGAAGCGGCAGGAGTTGGGGGGGGGGGGGTCTTATTAGGCAGATTACCTCATGTTCCCTTGGGAGGTTGGAGAGGGCCCAAATGACAGATTACCTCAGTGGCGCTTATCAAAAAAATTCCTGATTGACAGGTTGAGACATATTTCTGGGGGAGGTTGAAATTACAACCAAGTTAGGTATTAAGCCCTGGTTTGGTAACGTGAACTGGACCAAGTAAAGCCATTTTGGACCTTTGGTTTTTAACAATATCCTACAGAAAAATCCTATCAAGTACACAAAGATATATGTAGAATCCCAGTTATTTGTAGTGCTGAAAATGGCGTTGGGGGTAGAAATAAAGGGTCATCAATGAAGAATTGTGTAAACCAACTGAATACATCCACAAAAGGGAAAGATACATAAATATGCCTAGCAAAACATTTTTAATTTTTGTTTTTTCCTTTCCCTTCTCTCTTTTTTCTTCCTTCTTCTTTCCTCCTTTCTACCATCCCTTTTCTAGGGTGGAAAAAGCAGCTACATTTTACTCCTTAAAGCATCTGTAATACAGACCTAACAAAAAACAAACAAAAACCTGCCTTGAAGCCAACTTCGCTCTCCCAGTGTCCTTTGAGCGATATCATTTAGTCACGCAACTGGACCGCAAGGCAGTTTCCCTGCCTCTGGGAAAATGTAACAGCATCTTTATTTGGTTTGGGGAAGCTGCCTCTTCCTTTGATGCATTAAAAAAAGAACAATTCGCTTTGTTTAATAACACCTCCAAGAAGGAATGACCTGGAGAGGAATGGCCTTACCCCAGCATCTAAGAGTGGCCAAAGTTTTGGTTGGACTCTCCATGCTCTGGACACGACCCTCAAAAATAACTGTTTCTGCAGAAAGAAAAACGCCAGTAGACTAGAACATGTGGGGATATTTTGAGGAAGCTTTTGGGGATTTGGGCTGAACTCCACAATAACTATCTCGGGGAAAATATTTTAGTTTTATGTCTTATGGAAAGCTTGACTAAAATAAGGGAAATTAACCATGATCATGTTAATTCAGTAAATATTTGTTGAGACAGTTAATGAATCTGCTATGCGTAGAGCAGTACCCTGGGCAGGGTGGGATGAATTTCAGTAAAAAAGATATCCAGAAGTTGTCCCCAGCCTCAGGGAACTTACTGTTTCAAAATGGGCTGTCCAAGAGGTAGCCACTAGGCACATGTAGCTGTTTAAATTTATAAATTAATTAGAATTAAGGGTGCCTGGGTGGCTCAGTGGGTTAAGCCTCTGCCTTCAGCTCAGGTCATGATCTCAGGGTCCTGGGATCGAGCCCCGCATCAGGCTCTCTGCTTGGCAGGAGCCTGCTTCCTCCTCTCTCTCTCTGCCTGCCTCTCTGCCTACTTCTGATCTCTCTCTGTCAAATAAATTAAAAAAAATTTTTTTTAATTAATTAGAATTAAATAAAATTTAGGATCCGGTAGTTCAGGCACAACTACTACGTTTCACGTGTTCTATAGCCGCGTTTCCATCATCTGGTCCTAGAGGAGGGGTTTGCAGGGCTTTCCGGTTTTGTGAGTCTTACAGTCTCTGTCGTGTCTACTCCAATCTGTGGTCGTGGGGTAAAAGCAGCCATACCCAGCAAGTGAACAAATGGACATGGCCGTGTTCCAGTAAACCTTGATTAACCAAAATAATCAGCCGACCAGATCTGTCTTATGGACCGCGGTTTGTTGAGTTCTTGTCTACAGAAAGAAACAACTAGCTCCTAGGGTAAGGCTTTCACAAGGAATAGCAAATAAAGTAATTGCCTTTTTGTGGAAATTCAGACAGTCCTTATGGATACATGACCTATAATAATAAATGGTTTTGGTTTTAGACCCCTGAGTTCTAGGAAATTTGTCATAGAGCAGTAGGTAATGGACATGCTTCACCCTGTTACCTCTCTTACACCTTGCTTCAACAACCTTCTGAATACCAACATGTGTATTTAGCGTATTTTTGTATCTTCTAATGCTCAAAATC